CCCCGGGGCGGGGATACTAGAGATCCCATTGCTTGAGTATACACCACTGAGTCAAAGACGAAGTGGGTGAGATTCAGACATGCTTTTATCCACTATTTCTTTGTTGACGAAGTCATATGAATTTTTAACGTAAGTACTAAATTTCCCGGTGAGGGGTTTTAAAATACCGGCCAGTATTTGCGGTATTTGTATTTGTGGTATTTGTGGCCAGTTCATGCGGTGGAGAACCTATTCCATCTACTATCGGTCTCACCGGGATCTCTGGTTTATGGATTTTTGGAAGGCCATAAAGTCGTGGTTGGATTGCACTTTTCGGATACAATCGATACCAGTTGTCTTACCCTAAGTGGTTTATCACGGACCGCAGATGTTGGTTGGTTCCCCGTCTGTCTTATAACCTGGCCAATTTTGTGACCTGTTCACTTGGCCTGATGAAGCTTTTGTGTCAAAAGCGAAACGTTGCTCAAATAAAAACTACCGACTGTTTACCAAGCTCTTCTGAAATGAGGGTTTTCGCAATCGGTTCCAAACTTTTCCCAAACTTTCCAAACTTTTTTTGAGTGAAGACGAAAACCCGTTTGAAGGTACTTTTTGTGTGAGAGAACAAACTCGGTCGGTCCCTTGGCTGTTCCCTATGGTACGAAATGCCTGTACCATACTTTCCGCGGTATCCCAACTTTCGTGCTTCCTTCGGGTGGCATGGCAGCTAGGCATCGAAAGGGTGCTACAACTAGGCGTTTTTTCATCGTTCAATAAAAATCCAGATCCTGGTATAGCTATTGATGCATTTTTCTTGTCCGAATGGGCACCGATTTACGCCAACAAATCTTCTGACTGGCAATACCAGTTGTTATTGAGTAGGTTTAAGGTATCAGTCCCATGTATGCGAACGTTCACGAGACTTTTGAACTCGTAATGATCTGATGCATGATCTGTGCCGTATCTATTAGGCGCAGCCCTCATTTGGTGTGGGCATCGATGTATATCTCACTCAATGGCTGAGATGTTTGCGGCGAACAGACCAACGGTCCAACCGGTGCTCCAAAATATCGCAGTCTGCCGGTACAAAGTAAACAACTTATTAAGCCTGAATCTGTGATCCAGGTAGCTGTTGACTGATTCAATCGTCAGACCATGGGTGACTAGTCGGAAAGTCCTGTCTAGTTAACCCTCAGTTCTTGCAGAGGACCAGGTGCACTTCAATTGCAGTGGACGCGTATTTAAAAGGTAACGACGTGAAACTGCTAACCAGGGTGTTGTTGTCTATACGTTGAGAAAGCAGATAACCACTCTAATCGACGAAGGATGAAGAGGGTAACGTTGGCTCAATATTTCAAAAGCGTAGCAAAAATCGTGAATTAGAACCGGGAGTCTTGATTTCTTTTGACAGATTTGGGGTAGGTTTGAAGATATGAAATGTAGCACAACTTGACACAGAAGATCAATTCGCTTTTGACGTTGCTCATATTTTGTACTTTAACGCCTGCTCAAGTTCGGAGTCTTGAGTGGAATTCGTAATCCAAAGTTGGGCACTTCGAATGCATTTCCCAGAAATGCTGAGCATGTTCGGAAGGTCGCGCAAGCTTCATAATATCAACCAAAGCTTCACCACTGTCACTCTTGCAGGATTCATTCACCACCGTGCCGTCCATATCCACGATGCATCTTAAAACTTTGTACCAGATATGAATCGTTTGGTAGAGCAAGCTTGTTGCTAAAACTTTGTACCAGATATGAATCGTTTGTTGTTCTTCACACCGTTGAATTAAACTCTGTCTTTACGGTTCTAGGTCGGTTCTTTAAAATACTCACACCTTATGTGTTGTATAGGAACAGACTTTCGTCATCATACGTCAACTGGGAATAAAACGGGTCATCTGAGCCAGTCAGCATTGCCTCCGACCCTGACGCCATTAGAGTCGACGTCCTTCCGATATTGAAGAAACCTAAGCTTTTAGTGACAAGAGTGTAGAATCGTCCCGACAGTATGTGGAGTACAACATACGCTCCACCAACCACTCTTACGGTCTCCTAATTCCACGTCATGTCTTGTTTTGATTTCTGTCAGAGCCACCCTAGGATACAAGTTGGAAAAACACCGAAAGGTTCGAGTATCTAATAGATATGGTTTCCGGTGGCCTCGCTTTGTTGTGTAGATTTAACGCGTGTTCGAATCATTCCTGCCAGTTCAGCGCGTGATCGAGCCATACCCTGGCAGTCCACTTTTATGCGCGCGATAGACTGCATGCCTCGAAACATGCCACACCATATGTTGTGTTCGGTCGTCACTACCCAGTCTACTGTGATCTATCTCGTTGGGCCGTCTAACTGCATTGCCAATAAAGTCATACGGCAGTCAGATAACGAGCCGACACGTTGTTAAGCAAATGTACGGTAACGTGAATCATTTTGTATGCAGTTGCTCGAACTGTCGGAGTGCACGTGCTACGCAACTTCCATGAATCATAGGTCGATAGCTACGTCTGTCCCAGTGAACGGGTGCTAGCGCATGATAACCTTGCAACGTATGACTTCCGAAATGAAACATTCAAGATTATGAATGCCTGATGATGGCACTCAAGCCATGCATCACTTTGGAAATGGAAAAGGTAGCTAGATATCCAAGCTTAGGTAATGCGGTTGCTCATAGGATCATTAAGCAGGGTTTTCATGCTATGCAACCCAGATGGATACACTGTCTATGTTATGTATCTGGCCACAGTGTGGGTGAGATGGCCCAAGTGGTAGAGCGCGAACTTTATTTACCGGGAGGTCCGTATTTCGGACCCGACCTCTGCGTATTAACTTCCTCTGTCTAGGCTTGGGCGACCTCCCAGCCCTCGTGCTTCCTTCGGGTAGCATGGCAGTTAGGCACCAAAAGGGTGTTGATGGTTGATGGACATACTTTGTCACGCTTCAAACCTCATAACTTAAACTTACAAGGGTGGCAAGGTCGCCAAAAGTTTTGCGTTAGTTGGTAAGTTAGAACAAACGACTAACGATGGAATTCATCACACTGGTTGAGCAAAGGAGGTACAGCGGTAATCCAATGCTCTTGGGGCTGCTGTTGTCCCTGTCATCGTCGTCCGCTCAAAGTTAGCTACATCACTGTCTTTTGATCTTATCTTCAGAAGAGTCTGTATAAGGTGGTATTTGGTCTGAAAAGTTGCCTCATCTGTTGAGTGCAATGTATTTACCCGGAGGGTACGCACACTTCCTGTTCCATGTCTGCAACGTTGCGGTGAAAACTTGGATAGGTAGGTGATCAAAGCGAGTAGAACTGACGATCAGCAGGAGCCGCACTTGTAGGGTTTTTCCACCTTCATCATGCAATTTTCTGACGTCTAAGCAATCCCTCATGTGGCTTTCCTGCAAAACGGCAGTATCAGTTAAAAAGCAATATCTGCACTGAGAGTTTTTGACACATTTTTAATTCTCCGCATGCTTTGTGCTGTAATACATTTCTACACCACCCTACTTTCTTATCTATTTCAGTCGCATTCGCAGGCATATGCACTTACCACATGATATCCTCTCCTGCGGTTCTTCGGCTTTCTCCCTTAGACGTGGTTTCGGCTGCTTTTCTGGCCCCACGGACATTGCGGTGTGTGCGGCCACACCAGCTCTCACGAATCGCTTCTCTGTCCGGCAACACCAACACAGATAACACGGAAGGAGCGGCGTCCGATGGGGCTGAGAATAAGACATGTGATCAGTTTCGTGAAAGGATTTCCACCGGTCCTAGCCTCGGAGACTTTATCAGCGCTTCGCGTTATTACTCTTTAGAACATCCTGGTCGAACAGTTCCGTCTGTTCGAGCCAGTCCGGGTGAACGGTTAGTGTCGTTACTCGTTCGCAAATCCAGAACCTAGGGTCTTTATTTTACAGCACTCGTAGACTGAAGGTTCCACCATCGTACTGGCATTTTCTGGGTATACATTCCCAGATCAGGTCCTCTCAACAAGGTAGTTTTATGAAGGTCAACACTTGTGTTTGGATGGAAGGTATGTGTCACAAGGTGTTCGCGTTATCTCCTCAACGACGAAGTGCAAAGCATGCATTGTACGAATAAAAAGAAACCAGCAACGGAGTTGAACGGAAAGACACACGAGCATAAGCTGATGTAAGTTAAAAAGGTTGGCGGCAACAATATGCGTTGCCTCAGCAAACTGACTGGTGGTGTGTTGTTACGCAACCAGAGATCAGAACTTCCGTCTCTCGGTAAGATCATGCTCAACTTGCATCGGCCAGTTCTGCTTTTATAAAGTTTATTAAAACAATGCACCTGGTTTCTCTGACCTTGGTACCAGCTTCTGCTTACGCAGGATTGTTGCTATACCTACGTAACCTGCGTGTTTTACGTCTTGTTGCTAGGACGAGTAGAACAAATATTAGCATGCTATAATATATACTTTCTATCCTTATTGATGCAGTGGATAAAGGGTTTTAGTATCGTAACCCGTTACCGACGACCAGCCAGAGATTCTACCGATGGTCGCATGTACGCTCGAATCCACTCACATTGGTTCTCAGTTATATAATGGGATGAATTCCTCCTCAGTTTTGAATTGAATTTATACGGGGTACCCATTTCGGATTTTGAACAGAATACCTAACCGCAAGTCATGGAAAACAAACGGTGCATGAAAGACAGATTACCTATGAACAGAAATCACTGGCTAGCTTGTCGGTCCAGACGTTTTATTGACTGACACCTTCAAAACAGTCATCAAATTAACAACCTTCGTTTTTTGCAAACAGTGCCGTTTGTGGTTGTTGTTCTCTCGGTCATCGATCAGCCAAGAGCCTGATTTCAGTCCGAACCCAACTTGATTGGCTCACGGTATGACTTTGCCTTATTCCTTGTATCTTTGCCTTCCCCTCTTAGACTCCGACTGCCTGAATGGCTGAAAACCGACATTCCTCATGGTGGAAATTTTGCGAAGCTCACAAAAGAACTTCGTTCATTGAAGCTACACACGGTGTGTCTATTTTACCACGTGTTATGTTGTTTTTTTATCCTCAGAGTTCCAATAGCCTTCTTTGCGTAATCCATCATTGTGCCTACCTCTTACTATCGTATCGTATGAATATCATCCTAGTGTTTACCTGTTTGATCAAACTGTAGGTGACCAGATAAACAAAGCTTTGCCGTGGATTCGTCAATAAAACTAGATGGCGCGCTGTTTTTCATGCTACAGATCAATTGACTTTGATGTCATAACCACGGAGTTCATTCTTACCGATTCCTGACCTCGGTGTTTCTTTCAGGTTTGTGAAGAGGCCCGCTGTCCGAATGTTGGTGAATGTTGGGGCGGGAAAAGTACTGCAGCAACAGCAACGATAATGGTCGGTAACTGGCGTTACTTTGCATTGTTGTCAATTGTTCCTGATCTCTAGTTCAGATCGGATCTCAACACGTTAATTTGAAGTTTGTTTTATTCGAGGACTTGTGATTTTCCCCAAACACTACTGCCTAATTTTTCTTCCGTCAACGTTCTGTTGCATCGGGTTATCTAGTATGGCTATGTTACGATAGCAACCGGGAGCAAGACGATATCGGCTGCTCTTAGTCGAAATCTGACGAAGCAGTCGCCAAAATGATTGTCCGGCTGTCTGAATGCAAGGACGGTAATTTGACTTTGACCCTCACCTTTTGTCTTTCTTACAACATATCGTCTAAACGTGACGCACTATTCATAGCTGAAAAATGCAAGACGATATCGGCTGCTCTTAGTCGAAATCTGACGAAGCAGTCGCCAAAATGATTGTCCGGCTGTCTGAATGCAAGGACGGTAATTTGACTTTGACCCTCACCTTTTGTCTTTCTTACAACATATCGTCTAAACGTGACGCACTATTCATATGGTTGCTGAAAAATCTTCGACAGCGCGCGGCCAAAGTCACTCTTTTGCGAGGCCTATTAGGTAGACGCATTCCCCGAGTACAACATATCGTCTTTTACGACCTTCCTTGGATCTCCTGATTCGCTGGTACAGACGATGCTTCCTAGATAATTCCATTACTAGACTCCACTTTTGAGCGGTAATCATTTTGTCAATCAGCAATCCTTCACCATAGGTTGGTGTCCAATCGGAGACTCACCAAATGTTTTTTTGCAGCAAGATGAGGCAGCTGTACATTTCTACAGCTTCACTTCTAGTTTTTTCCTATAAAGCTTTGTCACCTTATTGTGGAAATCTGGGAAGCATTATCCTCACTGAGATTTATCAATAGCACACAACTCACCGATTTCGAAGAGAAGGGGGACCTACAAGGTTGAGGACATGAGTGGGCTATTTAGCCATTTAAATCTTGATGGTTGTGCTTGACCAGTATCCGAATTTCCTTCGTTAGCCTGTTTGACATTCTTGGTTTGTTTGTATATGCATCGAGAGCGGGCTTGCGACGTTGGAAAATGGTGGATATCCCATACCACTGGTCTTTCTGACAAAAATCTTCTAATGTGTCTGATCACCATCCGGGAAGATGCTTATGATCACGTGTGCGGAGGTGCTTCAAATGTAACGCTTGCCTCAGCATGGTATTTCAGTAGCCTCATTTACAAAGTGATCTCGTTGCCGCAAACGAATATTTCTGGTTCAAACAACACCAAATTGTAATGGGGGAAAAATCTTCCGCGAACGACGGTAGCTGCGCACTCAAGAAACGGCTTCTTTGACTGAACTTACCTTTAGTGACATTCGTGAGGGCGAGATGGACCAAGTGGTTGGAGCGCGAATCTACTGACCGGAAGGTCCCTGTTTCGAACCCGACCTCTGCCTCTCGACTTCCCCTGTCTAGGCTTGGGCAACCCGGCAGTATCCCAGCCATCGTGCTTCCTTCGTGTGGCATGGCAGCGAGGCACCGAAATGGCACTACAGCTGAACGATTTTTAGTATCTTTTATAGATCACAACAAGTACTAGTTGTCTACATGGGATCTATTGCAACTATTCTGGTTTATTCATAGCCACACCACTCTCATTTGAACGGCCGTGTTCCTGTTCTGGCGTAATTATTCCGGTCAGTCCACACCAAAGGAAAACACTGGACTCGAGTTTCGCTCTTATTAGAGCTCATCAGTTGTGCATATCCAATGGCCGTGTTGGGATTTGAACCCCGGACATCTGACATGCGAGGCGAGCGTGTAACCACTACTCCACCAGCGCACGTTGGACGCATCTGAATTATCACGTCTGAACAGGCGAAACGTGTTCACACTTGAGCGATGTGATTGGTGTGCCCGACTGGTTTACCCTTATCGTTGTACGTGCTAATAATGAAAAAAATTCTGCGATGTTGCTAACGGCGCCTACAGAGCTAGCGAGGATGAAAATCGGGTCAAATTTCGCCAGAAACCTCGCTTCCTCTGATTTCCGGACGGGCGAAGAAGGTAAGTTTGGAAAATGGGAAAATTCCGGTGCTCGAGGGTAGAGAACATGCAATGGAATCCCTGAAATCAACGCCATCCTGAACAGAGTCCGATCCGTGAACATCTATGAGCAGGAAATCAACAAGCGCAGCCCACCGTCAAATAGGCTGACCAGACGATAGGATCGAGTGCACGACTGGAAGATCAAACCCAATGATCACCCGGGTACTCGCAAGTCAGAACACAATTGAGCAATCCAAACGAGAGCATAGCTTATCCGAATGACCAACGGTAGTCGAAGTCACCAGTTTTCAGATCTATACAGACGCGCACATCGACGCATCGCTCCTCTTCATTGAAGTCCCCGCGCTTTGTGATGAAAGGTTTCCAGCAAATACAAGAGGCCTAACGAACAAGTCGACCACCAAATGGACAAACTTTGGCTTCCAAAATTTTGTTGTATAGACGTAATGCACTATTCACAAGATTGTTGAAGACTCTTCGGCTGCCCACGACCGATTTCGCTCTTCTTGGGGCTCATCAGGTAGGCGCAGGTCCCGAGTTTCTGCCAACCTTATTTTCTACTTGAACCCAAAGTGGAGAAAATTCAGTTGCTTAAGAACTTCATAAACGAAAGATTCAGCCGGGTTCCCGGCGAGTCTCCCGCCAAAATCCAATTGCAATACAAATGAGTATACTTGTCGAAGTTGAACATAAGGTCAACGGAAGCTCGAGGACTACGCTTAACTGACGAGCCCCAAGAGGGGCGAAATCGGCGTGGGTTATCAACGAGCTTTCAGCAACCTAATGAGTACTGTATTGCGTCTATACAATGTATCGCGATTCCTCGAATAGCGCACCAACTGAAACATGAGGCGGTCTCATGCAGCACATTCAGTTGCTTAAGAACATCATGGACGAAAGGTTCACCTGGGTACCAGGTTAGTCTCCGTCAAAACTAAACTGACATGCAAATGTGTATATATATCGGTTTCTCTCGTACACTTTATTCGACCCTCGAAAATTACTTCATCCAGTAAAGTCAACTACCCACAGCCCTCTCGCACATAGCACATAGCAGACAGTCGGGATATCAAACTACCCCGTTCCCATTTATTTATCCTTGATATCAGTTCGTCATTATGTTCGAGCCGTTCTGTCTACACCCGCTTTCATGTTGTGCCATTTAACAGATTATGGGCGATACTTGCACGCGTGGCTGTCGCTTCTGTTCGATTAAAACGTCGCGCACGCCTCCTCCATTAGACCCCTCTGAGCCGCTTAACACCGCGCTGGCTGTCTCCAACTGGGGTGTAGAATACATAGTCATCACCACAGTAGACCGGGATGATTTGGATGATGGTGGTGCTGGCCATATTGCTGAAACTAGTAAGTTTTTCTGTGCGATTCCGAGAGTCTGTCACCTTGTATGCTGCAAGTCACTCCACAAACTGTTTCTTGCCTAACTACTTTAGCCTCCACTAAATCATGCATGTCATGTGTCATGCTCACTCTCAAGTTTCAGGGAGAGAAATCGGATATCTCAGTGCGCATCATTGCCGTTGAATTCAGTTGGTCCAGTACGCAAGGATTTGGTTTTGGTAAAGCTAAGTCTTCATTCTGTTCCATAAATTTAGAGCGACATAATCTAGTTTTTTTTTAAATGTCCGACATAGAGGTTCTTGTTGGATGTGGGTAGGTAACTTGTGACTTGAGTCGCCTAATCACTTGAATCAAACTACTACTGATTATGATGAGGATGAGGATATTGAACAAAGCTACTTTTCTGCGGCAGATTAATATGTCCTGGGGAATCTTCTATATGGTCAGGTACATCCACGCGCAAATCCGTTAAGGAGAAGTGAGGAAAACACGGATCGATTAGTCACTGAATCAAACTGGGACTTGACAACACTCTGAACAACATGAGTTTGAAGCCCGCGCACAGAGTTCTGGGTTATGTAGCCGAATCTCGATGGTCTTCACGACCGATTGAATCGTACTGCTCGTGGTTGGCTCAGAAATGTCCGGTTTTGGACCTAAATGGTGCGTTCTTGTTCTGTGACATGAAGATTTCTCGTTAGATGTGACTCAGCTGCACTCTCATAATCAAAGACTGCAACATCAGTGTTGACACTGATGCTCCACCGCCGTACAACCATAAGGTCGACTAATTATATTGAAGCCCTAGAGTGAAAAGAAGAGAAAAAGAGTGGATGAAGGAAAAGATCTAGTGCTGGCCTATGTCAAGCATTCTGAAGCGCACTATAAATTGTCTTTTTCCAACCACTGGAACTGGATTGTGCTCACCTGTTCTGTCCGGCAAGCGCCTTATACGACCATTCGTTTGCTTGTGTGGTGCAGTATATGCTGTCCCCTCAGGCGAGATTTAGTGAAACATACCTATATCCATCTATCTAGCTATCAACACTGATGACAACTTTGCAAGTATTCCCTCCCTTACAAGCATTATTCTGAACTGACGCGTGAGTGTTCCTATCTTTTAAATGAAGTGTGGCAATATGTATCTTATCGGTCTTAAGTTACTCGTATGTGTGCTTACCCGCCTAATGACATGGTATGTCTGCACAGGCTTGCTATCGCATGATGTAAGAATAAGCAATCAGATGACTCCCCCGTCAACCAACAACCTCTCATAAGAGCCATGTTTTGCGTCTTCCCTTGTGGTGGAAGGGATATAGACAAGTTGTTCTGTTTCTCTATCAGAAGTTTTTCAGTTCCCATTTCGAAACTAAAAAGATTGACCCACCTTAGTCGGTAGCACGGCAAAATGTGCATGTTCTGCACGCATCGTTCTTCAGTCCGTCAGATTAAAGAACACAAACCGTCAATGCTTCTGGAATGCTTGGTCCCCGATTTTAGGGGTAATTTGGAGTCGGTGGCCAAAGTTGTGGACGCCAATCCGGAAGTCTATGCTCATAATCTGGAAACCGTGGAGTCTCTGCAGCGGTAAGCGAACCTTTCATTTCATGACACTTGGGTAAAATTGTTCCCAAAGCAACTGGCACAATTATTTTAGTTTCTGTATGTGGGGGTTGGACACATCTGAATCCTCAATTCCACCAGCGAACGTTGGACGCATCTGAGTCCTCACGTCTGAACGACGACCGAGTGACTGTCCTGGTTGTGACGATCGATTGGCCCGCTTGTCAGGACTTCCCAGTCAGGTAGCGCCACAGACGCTTGAAACCGACTGGACAACTTTTTGTTGATTCATGTGGGGGGTTTGCGGGAGGTGTAGTTTTCACTTTCACATCACTCGTTTTGAACAGTAGTCCTCCTGTCCTGCCGAAATTATTCATGTGAATCCGCCCGTTCAGACGTCCAACATGCGCTGGTGGAATAGTGGTNGCTCACCTGTTCTGTCCGGCAAGCGCCTTGTACGACCATTCGTGTGCTTGTGTCGTGCAGTATATGCTGTCCCCTCAGACGAGACTTGGTGAAACATACCTATATCTATCTATCTAGCTATCAACACTGATGACAACTTTGCGAGTATTCTCTCCTTTACAAGCATTATTCTGAACTGACGCGTGAGTGTTCCTATCTTTTAGATGAAGTGTGGCAATATGTATCTTATCGGTCTTAAGTTACTCGTATGTGTGCTTACTCACCTAATGACATGGTATTTCTGCACAGACTTGCTATCGCATGATGTAAGAATAAGCAATCAGATGACTCCCCCCCTCAGCCAACAACCTCGCACAAGAGCCATGTTTTGTGTCCTCTCTTGTGGTGTAAGGGATATATACAAGTTGTTCTGTTTCTCTATCAGAAGTTTTTCAGTTCCCATCTCGAAACTGAAAAGATTGGCCCAGCTTAGTCGGTAGCACGGCAAAGTATGAATGTTCTGCACGCATTGTTCTTCAGTCCGTCAGATCAAAGAACACAAACCGTCAATGCTTCTGGAATGCTTGGTCCCCGACTTTAGGGGTAATTTGGAGTC